TGTTTTTGCTCTCACACCACTTCAAAAATGGCCAAACAGATGTTTTTTCAATTCCACATACAAACTTCACTTCCTGGCGGTAGCAGTATGTGCCAAGTTCCAGCTCAGTGCAAGTTTTTATGGCTGAATTCTAAACCCCTGACAATAGGAGGTTATAATGAAACGCTGACAGACCCCTTAGCGCCAACAAATGCAATGGCTCGATGCAAAGGAGGATGTGTGCCTGGTGAGTTCCAGCTGGGACGGTGCAACCCAATCAATCCTTAGAAGAAGAAAAGTGGTTTTTCCTTAACTCCCCATGTTCACAGAGATTTCTGGGCTAGAAGTGCTTGCCTTTACTTTGGCCTCTATCCACAGAGAGAGGTGTCCAGAGAAATTTTCAATTTCAAGTATGTGTGATCAACTTTCCTAAAACAGTACACTCTGGTGTCCCCAAAGATGTTCTACTCAACAAGCCTGCAACACCCAAGGGACCACTTCTTCCAAAGTAGAATAGCCACCAAGCCCATGCAAAGTTTGGAACAGGATCCATACAGACAGAATCCTTCATCCCTGGCCTCAGGGATTCCTACTTCAGTTATATAGTCTTAGAGTCTGTCCCAGGCCTCAATATTTTCATGTTTTCAAAAATAAATATCAAGACATTTTCTGTTGTAGAGTGTTAAATGATTATGGTAGAACATTTAGAACATGTGGAAATAGTTTTGAAAAGAAAGTACCCTCCCATCGTAAAAAAAACACCTTGTTAATATTTTGGTGTATTTCTATTGTCTCTTTCTTCAGAAAGGAAAAAAAAAAAATCCTATGACAATTGTAACATTCTCACTGTAGACGCATTGAAAAGCACGCCTATGTAAAAAAGAAAAGAAAAATGACACTATTTCTATGCAGAGATAACCATGGTTAACTTTTAAAGTATAGCCTTGCAGTTATGGATAGATACATTTTGAAAATTTCTGCTCTGATGCACAGCTAATGGGTTTCAGCCATAAGATCAATGAAAAAGAGAGCAGAGGAAAGATGGCAAAATTCTCAGTCACAGATATGAAGCTAGGCTCCATAAAATCCATCAGTGCAGGCCTGTGTCCTAAGAATGGAGAACAGACATTAGGAGTGGCGTTTGCATTGCAAAGTTAAGTACAGTCAACAAGCTTCTCCCAGGAATTTGTGAAAGGACAGGTAACAGACAACCTTGTTTCCAGGCAGTAAAGCCTTAGATCAAAGAGGCACATTAACATCCAGGAAAGCTATTATGCCTATTGCTCAGGATTATATTCTTTTTTCCCAAAGAAGTAGAGATTTTCCGTTTGTTTCTTTTAACAGCTTTTGCTGCTTTCTGCTACATCAAAAGTAATACATGTTCATTGTAGGAAATTTTGAAAATACAGACAAGTAAGAGAAAGAAATGTAAGAATCTTCACAATTCTGTCAGCCAGATATCGTCATTAAAAGTTTGGATGTATCACATCCTTCTAGACTTTTGCTTCTTGTATTTTTTTAAAAAAATAAAAGTGGGCTCATTGTCCATGTTATTATGTAATCTGCTTTACTCATCTGAGGAGGTGTATCTTTCCATGCCATTAAATATTCTTCTCCAATATTAGTTTTAATGTTTGCACAGTGGTCCATTTTATGGACCTAATATAGTTTACCCTATTGCTGGTCACTTCACTTATTTCCCAGTTTTTCAAGACTATAAAAACGCCCTTGGATTTTTTTTTTTCACATTTATGATTATCTCCTTGGGATTAATTTCTAGAAATTAAATTACCGGGTTAAAAATATGCACATTTTCAAATACTTTGATACATATTATTGAAGTCCCTCCAGAGAGGTTAGTACTCCCCTTAGAAAAGGAATAGTATCTGTTTCCCCGCCCTCTTAAGTTCTCCTTAATCTTTATCAATTTGGCAAGTGGAAAATAACACCTCATGACTGTTTTAATTTACATATGATTACTAATCGGTTTGACCGTTTATAGGTCTATAAAGGCCTTTTGGTCATTTTCATTTTTCCTTCTGTGACATTCCTTTTCACTTCCCTTGCCCATTTTTCTAGTGGGATGTTCTCTGATTAATTTATAAAAACTTATTAGCTACTGAGAATCTGAATATATCTAAAAAATTATGACAGATATTTTTCCTAATTTGTCATTTGCCTTTTCTGTATGTGTTACGGAAATATTTTTGTCATGTCTTACGATGTTCTGTTTAGGTTTGGGGGTTGAAAGGATTAGGTGAATTACATAGCTTCCTAATTTTTCTACTAGCTCCTTTATAATTTTGCTTTTACAAATAACTTAGATTTACTTTCGTGTTTAACACGAGGAAGCACTCTAAATTTTGTCTCCAAATGGCTAGCATATTGTTCCCATGTGTTTATTTCCCCACTAATTTGAAATGTCACCTTTATTAAGTTCTAATTCTCATGTATACTCAGTTCTGTTTCTGGACTCTATTTTCACCAGGGATTTGTCTGCCTATTTCTATGCTAGTATAACACTGATTTCATCTGTGTAGGCTTATCATAAGTTTTAATATCTGTTAAGACAAACGCCTCCTTAAAAAAAATTTTTTTAACAAAACTTTCTGGCTCTAACAGTGTGGTTGTTGTTTTAAATAGATAAATATAGAAGTTATGTTTGTTGACACACACACAGATTAAAATTTCCTTTAGGCTTTTTATTATAGCCGCATTAAATTTTAAATTTGGATGTAATTTGACATTTTACAAAAATTCTGTTAAAAATATTTTAAATGGGCATGTTACAGCTCTGTGCTTATTCAGCTCTGTAACAATTCTTTTACACCACCTGGTGAAGCCTGAAGTGACTCCTTTCCCACTGAGAGGTGGTGGCCATGCTAATGAGCATGCTTTTAGATCTGTTACTAAAAAAGAAGTATTTGTAGAAGTGAGTCATATGCTGAATATACATGGAATTGAGTGTGTGTGTGTGTGTGTGTGTGTGTGTGTGTGTCTAATTCACATTATAAAAACCCTCCTCTATCATGGTGTATGAGGGGAGATTCTGCTATTGCAGACTCAGAAACCAAGGTGCCATTTTGGTGCTCGCATGGATCACATAGGATGGCAGAGATTTCATGGTGGTCAGAATCAGGGGCTCCTGATTCTCAGCGTTCCTTTGGCCTCTGATTCTGTGCCTTACAGAAAGAGGAGGGGACTCACCCACCCACCCTGCTCACACACACACATTTCACTGACGCTAAAACCAAGGCTAGAAGAGGAGATTGACTTGGAACTATGAATAAGATCCATTCTCAGTGCTTAAACCTGTATCCTCTTCCATAACAATAGTGAATTAGCCAGATTTCTTCTTCATTTGCATCTTCAAGTATTACAGGAGATTCTTTAAGGATTTTTTCCTCCTTTCCAATTTTTTCTCTTTTTTATTGACATATAGTTGAATTACAATGTTGTGTTAATTACTGCTGTATAGCAAAGTGACTCCGTTATACATATATATACATTCTTTTTCGTATTCTTTTCCATTATGGTTTATCACAGGATATTGTATATAGTTCCCTGTGCTACACAGTAGGACCTTGTTTATTCATTCTCTATATATCGATACCACCATTTTTTTCTTTTGATTCATATTACTTGTGGAAAGACCGAGATGTATTTGGATGCTTCCTTCTGCACTGCCCTTTAAATCAGGACCACTTGAGGATAAGAAGTTTTTAGATAAAGCTCTTTTTTTTTGAAGTCTTTGGTTTGTCGTACGGCTGTAAAAGACATCATATTGGAGGTACGCTGTATGATTGCTTTACATAGGCAATTTGTGAACACAGCCCAAAGTCTATCTTTATATGGAGAGGGGGGAAATGGGGATGGAGTCTTCCACAGGATATCAGAATACTGGACCTTCAGTTCACCTCGAACTTGGTCTTTGAACCATAACTCGCACTCATGTTCTCACTTTCAGATTCACTTTGTGGAGTATCTGGACCACTGACGATATGAAGTAGAGGTCAGCACTCTTAGCCTTTGTCACGGCCTTTGCCATTACATTCCAGTAATTCTTTTACCAAGTCATGGGACTTGGGCAGTTCAGAATTCTGGACATTATGCTAAAATGAGCCCCTGAAACTTGACCTCATACTATAAAATGCCATCTCGAACAATTCTACCCTTGTGAACTCAAGTTTACCCCTTTCTCGAGCAAGCTGAACCTAGGAGGAGATTATCTTCTTGTATGATGTGACTTGGTGGAGTGTCTGACATTAAGACATGGGGCCCTTCGTTGTGTAAATTGCCTTTATTTTTCCTGGAAATCCACAACACTTAGTTTTTGGCTTCCTTTAAGTCAGTTTAATGTTAATATTGGTATTTTTTTCTACACATCACATCAGAGGAGGCTGACTTGCAGCTTTATTTCCCAGGAGCTCTGAAAGTAGAGGAAGAAGGAGGTAATCTCTTAAATGTTAATAAACTTTTACATTTAATGAGGAAGTGGCCCATAGAGATGGTGCACTCAGAGAAGATGCCAACCCTACAGATCAAACCTCCGGTGCCCTGAGAATTGCCAGGGAAGCACATGGCTCCCAGACAGGACTACTTTTTAGGGTAAAACAAGAGGTTTCTGATTTTTAGTAGACTGGATAATTTTTCAGTTGTTGGTCTTAGCCTTCTCTTGTCGAGCTTCTACTTGTAGATTAAGACCTATCACAATTTCATCTCCTGCTGACACTTTCCTGACTCTTCCAGGCAGAAAAGCACTCTGCCCGCTGTATCTCAGCGTCGTGGACACTCCTCCAACAGGACAATGACCCTATTAGTTTTTTTTGTTTATTCCTCCCACGGGACAGGGCAGGGACCTTGTCACATTCAACTTCTTTTTGAATCCCTGGAATCAGGAACAATGCCTGGAATAAATTCGTAATTTCTCAAGCAATGTGTAGAGGTTGTATGTACTGAAGAGAGAACTTAACTCCTAGATCTTTCTCTTTCTAAAAAAGGATTGTGCATTTGCTTTCCAGTCATGTCATCAAGTCCCACTGTTGGATCTTCCAGCACGTCCTCCATCCTCCCATTTTCCTCTTCAGTTTTTCCTGCTGTCAAACAGAAGAGTGCCTTCGCCCCCGTCATCAGGCCCCAAGGTTCCCCTTCACCTGCTTGCTCCAGTGGCAATGGAAATGGATTCAGAGGTAAGCAAAGTAGCACCGTGGGTATCGGCATGATACATGTGCCACAGGGTCCGCAAAGTAAGAGCAAACAGCTCAGCATCCTTCTGTATCTCTAGTCATTTACCTACAAGGAGATGCTTTGGTGTTTTCATCGTGAGACCCGAATGACTTGTACAGCTGGGCTAGTTCTCTATCCAAGAGCAAGATGGGGGAATAACAGAGAAGTCGGACAACTCTGCAAGGACACAAATTAACTATGGTGGGGTCACATATACCCTCTAGGAGCATCGGACTCCCCAGACCCCTGCTTTTCACAAGGCCATGTCACTATTTCCCAGAAGGGGCCTGGCCACACCACAGCAGATGCTACACGGTGACTACTGCTTACCGAATCAGCTTGCCATCTGCAGTGCATTCCCAGTCCCATGGCACGAATGGACAAGATCCGTCAGGAGCCACGAGCAAGTTCTGAGAATTCTGGTTACATGCTGGTCAAATTGATAGCAGGTGCCTGATCAGGGGTGGGGTAGGGAAGAAAGAAAAAAAAGACATACTGGATCTAAGAACAAACATTCATATCCCCCGTCAAACCCATTTTTGAGCAATGTCCTAAAATACAATATGACATGACATAGCACGAATGTGATGAGCACATGAGAATCTAATCATCTCATTGTGAATGGGAGGCAGTTGATGGCAAAAGAGCAAACTGGAAACTGCTGAACGCCAGGGAGCTTAACGACCCACATGATTTTTAGGCAGCTCCCTGCGTCTTGACATGAAAACATTCACGACAAGCAGTGTTGGATAGAACCAAAGAGGGCAGAGATTTGCTTTGGTTAACCCCTCGTGGATCAAAGCCTCTGAGGTCAGCAGAGCCTCGAATGGGCTGTGCTGTCCCTGGAATGGCATCTGCCTAGTGGCTTTATGATTGCGCAGGGGTTCCCGAGACTCTGGGGACACCCGTGAGGGTGCACTCGCCCGTTGTGGCCAAGCACAGCTCTGGGAGGTACGTCAGCTTCCTGACACATTCTACCATTAGAGCGATGGTACCTCCTTGAAGTCAAGTGACTTGACAGACAAACTGTGAAATAAGAGTTGAAAGCCCAGCCCTCAGAAGAGCCCCTAAAAATTCTTTTGCTTCTAACTAGACAAAGCAGCTGGGTCTACATGCCGCCCAGCATGGGAATAGTTGGAAACATCTGTATATTTGAATGAAAAAAAATATATATATATGTATTTGCTTCTTATCCAGATGTCAGATCCAGAGAGAAACAGGCTCAGCCTGTAGCTAAGCATCTCCACCTGCCGCACCTCCCAACAAAGGCCAGTGGTTTCTAGCCTGTCATTAGGGGACGTGCTCAGAACTTTTCCCACGATGGCTTCACCTCCAGACTGGGATAGGAAACAATTGCTGAATTTTTGCTGCATATTCCCCTCCCCTATCTCCCCTTCAGCAGTATGACTCCCCTTTCCAAGTACTATGGTTTCAGTCATGTCCCTTAAACCTGGCAGGGTTGCAGCAACATGGATGGACCTAGAGATTGTCATACTGAGTGAAGTAAGTCAGAAAGAGAAAGACAAATATTGTATGATATGGCTTATACGTGGAATCTAAAGAATGGGTACAAAGGAACTCGTACCTATCTACAAAACAGAAATAGAGTCACAGATGTAGAAAACAAACTTATGGTTACCAGCGGGTAAGGGGAGGAGGGATAAATTGGGGGATTGGGATTGACATATACACACTCCTATATATAAAACAGATAACTAATAAGGACCTACTGTAGAGCCCAGGGAACTCTACTCAATACTCTGTAATGGCCTATATGGGAAAAGAACCTCGAAAAGAGTGGATACATGTATATGTATAACTGATACACTCTGCTGTACAGCAGAAACTAACACAGCATTGTAAAGCAACTAAACTCCAAGAAAAATTTTTTAAAAACCTGGCGGGGGCCACACAGGTTTCGTTGGGGAACTGCAGAGTGAGAGGCCCAACAAAGACTAAGGGCAAAGGGCAAGCGCAGGTGCAGGAGGAGAACAGGAGGGGTACAGCCCTTCCTTCATTCCAGGCAACTCCTGCAAATATTTTCAGCTTCACTTGGAGGAAGAAAAGTGCAACTTGACTGCCCCTTGCCGCCCCTCCCCCAGCCCCTCTCTCACGCAGGGACTGAGTCAGGGGAGCAGAGCTGGTTGACTCAGACCCTTCTGGGTCTGTGCTGTCCAGGGAGACCCATCTGTGGGGCCTGCCCAGCTTGCAGCCCTCAGGGAGCTTTCACTGGCAGCCATGGCCTGGAATCCCCACCCTGCTAGCGGCTGCAGGCCCAAGGGCCCCTGTGGTGTCACCTGGTCAGGGTGCAGTTGTCCCAAAGAGCTGGGACGGTCTGTGTGGTCACAGCAAGGTTTCCTGGTGGAGGCGGCAGCAGCTGAAATAACCAGAAGACCCCCTCTAGGGTCCTCAGCCATGCGAGCTTCTGGCACTACCAGTGACACAGTGTCTGAGCAGCACATTCTTAACTGTGTGTGCGGGAGTGACAGCAGAGTTGGTTACACACAGACACAGGTCCTAGGCTCTAGTTCATTTCTATAGAATCACTGAGAAGTCCTGAGCCTCTTTGAGGTCCTACAACTCCTCCGAATTGCCCTGGTGATTTTAACCTTGAGGAGAAGGATGGGGGCCGGGATGGAGGAGGAAACGGTGGAGGGGAAGCAGACAGCAACATTTAAATTAGGAGCTGGAGACTGAAAAACAAAGAACTATGAAAATACAAAGTAGTGTGTGGAGAAATAGGAGAGAATTCCGAGGGGAACCTCAAAGGCTACCAACTGTGGGAAGAACACGGAACTTGACTTCAACAGACACTGCAGGCTGTACCAGGGCATCCCTACCAGTCACTATCATCGGAGAGCCTCAGTCTCCTAGCCTGTTAAACAGGAGAACTGATCGCTCTATCCCAAGGTGGTTGAGAAGCAACGTGTGCGAAGAAGTAGGAAAGGTGAAGGACATTTTATACATGGAGCTGACAGGGGATGCCTTCCAGAAGCCTTCACTCTGGTTCTTCCTCATTTTGGACGGGTGACTAAGCAGTTCAAGGTCCAGCATCACCAGGTGTCCCGTTGGTGCAGAGAGGGAGAGAGCCACGCTGACCTTGAATACGCTGCCTGCAATCACTGAATGAAGGGATCCTGGGGTGACGGGGGCTGAGTGGCAGGACGCTCCATCCCTTTAGGGACAGTGGGAGGGTGTAAATGTGGCCTGAGGTGGAGGGTGATCACAGGCTGAGAGGGAGTTTCTTTCCGCTTGCTCTAAGCTGAGGTGGTATTAGTCACCCGCAGAGGGACTGTGCAGCCAACACTCTCCGAGACTCGCTGACCGTGCCTTGATCCCACGTGCAAGGTGCTGAACCAAGTGCCTTATAGGAATTACCTTGTTCCAGCCTCTCGTGTGACCCAAAGGCGAAGGTCATACTGGTATCACCATTTTTAGCTAAGGAGCTTGCCCAGGGCCACACAGCCAGTGACTGATGACTTGAACTCAGACATTTTGACCCCAGAGCCTGCACTCCGACAGCCCGCTGTCTCTCTGGGGACAGAAGTAGTATAGGTCTTCTCTTCACCGTTCGCCCGTACCAACTTTCCACCTGGACCGGAGAGGGATCATTACATTCCCATGAAATGTCAAAGGTAAAAAGAAACTGGACAAAGTGCAGTTAAGGATTCTCCCAAATAACTGCTGGTTTCTGTCTGTTGGCTACGGTTTCTACAAGCAAAAAGTCAGGGTCACCACGGAGCAGAGCGCAGCCCACGCAGTGCCTGGTGTGAGACCAGGGAGAAGGAAAATCCATGAAACCTGTTCTCCAGTCGTGCAGTGGATCTTGTTCTCGGAGAGGCTCTGCCCTTTTAATAAGCTCCTTAGATAACTCTCTGAGGACGCAGGAAAAGGAAGGGGCTGATGAGTCTGAAGTGTAACAGACAAGTTAAAGTTGAAAACGTGAGCCCGAAACCTACTGCTGGGGAGCTATACATGCAGTGTTCATTCTCCCCACCTTCTACCTCATTTATCAGGCATTCACAGTTGATGAGTATAGATCGTCGAGATAATAGTATACACTGTGCCAGATTCGTTTTCCAGCTCCCTCCAGGAAAAAAAAAAGAATAAAATAAAATACCTCCTACACTCTGGGATAATTACCAGGGTTGCTATATCTCCAAATCATTGGGGAGTGTCCAGAATTGAACTGCCTTTATTGAAAAGTTACATCGATTCAATATATAGTAATACAGGCAAAAATAATTAAGGGTTTGCTCGCCGCTGTGTAAGACCTTAATCTGGATCTCACAAACATTCAATAAAGGCTGTATGGTCAGGGAAATAGATGGCTGACAATTTTGCCTGAGAAGACTGGCTGGCAAGGAGAGAAAAGGGAAGAGGAGAGGGATAGGGGAAGGGAGGGGTGGGGGAGAGAGGAGGGAAGGAGGGAGGGAGAGACAGAGAGACGTGTTGGAAGAAGCAGGAAGAATTTTGTCCATTTGCTTATCAGGTTAGTGAACACCGTTCAGCAAAATGCTTCTATGATGTTTGATAAGCCCTTTAGATGGGGCTTAGACAATAAAACTCAAAGGATCAAATTCTAGATGCAGTGTGAAGTTTGGACACAAGGAAACTATTCTGCCAGTTTCCAAGAATGTGAAAATTCGATGGGTTCATCACCCGAAAGCCAAGGCCAGAGGGTTGTGTTTTGCTGTGTGAGTTTTCCACATTGTGCTGATGCTGCTTTATTTCTCATATCGAGGGGAAACCTTGGACCTGATGCCACCCAGACAGGCATTTGCAGTATCCTCTTGACAGAGGGGCGCTGGACACTGCGCTTGGATTGGGGGTGAAGAGTAGAGATTGGGATGACTCCCAACTTAGGAACTAAATTAAGTCTTTTGTTCCAGTGGATCAGCATCCCTTAGTGAATGGACATCACACACAGCAGTGAGCCCCAAAGGAAGATGAGCTAGTTAGGAAAAAAAAAAAAACTCCTCCGATTTCAGCTAGGATGGATAGAAACCTAGGATGGATAGAAAGTCCGATTTGTTATAAACGATGCCTAGTAAGTAACTCAATAGGCTTGGCACCTGGAGTATATTTTCCTCTTCCAACCATATAATCTAGAAATTATTTTAGTCTAAGAGTGAAAAATATATTAGACATATATTACAATTTAGTTTACATGTTTATGTCTCTTATGTCATGTATACAACCCATTAATGTAAAGCAAAACCTAATTTCTGGCCTCCCAAGCAAAACTTCAACAAGCTTTGTTTATGTTTCAGTGATTCAGTAAGGCTCTGGTGCCTCTCATTGGCTGTCTGCTAGACCAGACCTGGAGAAAATGGGTTCCCATATCAGCTGAGGGCACCATCTCCCTGGACGGTACCAGACTGTCCATCCCAGGCCCCGCCCCTCTCTCTGGTTTCTAGACCTTAATGTAAAGAATCTCTAAGTCTCATGCCTGTGCCACTCTTCCCTTGCAGCCATGACCGGACTTGTCGTGCCCCCAATGTAAAGAAGAGGAAGAACTGCTTTCTTATAGCACAAAACTGCTTACTCTGATGGACCAATAATGAAGAAAGCACTAGGAGCTCTCTGGGGAAAGTTGTGCCCCAAGTGAACATGATGGACAGATCTGGGTTTGCAAGGAGCTGCCTCTTACCTGGTCTCACGTTTCTTGTGTAGCTCTGATGGTAACTACACAAACTGACCCTCTTGGGAACAAGGACAAAAGATGTCATTGACGTAGTCAGTGCTAAGAGCAGAAATGCAATTCTTTGTTATGAACATTATGAGAACCACCTTCCTATGTTTGTAAAATATTTAAGAAAAAAAATTGGCAAACGATTCATGCTTAATATTTTGGATACTATTTGTTTTTCTTTGTAGGAAAAAAAAGTTGAAAGTTTCTATTTTCTATGAAGCCTTTCAGATACCAATTTAGTTTATGCAGAAAAAAAAATTGAACAAAACAGGGTACCAGCATGGAAGACTTTCTTAAAATGAAACCTGAATTGAATGATGAAATGTTGTTGTATGTGTGTTTGCTTATAGTTTAATCTCTTTAAAAAACAAACAAACAAGAAAAACAAAAAGGAAAAATTTTAAAATGTTTTACAATTATTTAAATAAATAAACGTGTAACTTATTGTAAGTAGAGGTAGAAATTAAGACCTTTTTGGAAGAGAGAGGAATTTCTCTTCCTGATGTAAAATGGAAGTGATGCAAACATGTAGTAACAAGTTTAAAAGGTGTGTGATTATTACTGCAGTTACTTACTAGACTCTTATCCCCCATCCCGCATCCCCCTCTTTTTCCATCATTTTACTGACCCACAGGCAAGAACATGTATCTTATATAGAACAACCCGATGCAGAAACGATGCAAGTCCATGCACGTACACAAATACTCAAACCCATCAATCCATTCCCAGCTCCGTCTGCTTTCTAAATAGTCTACATGTCCCTTTAGGTATTCACTCTTTGTGAATACATAATTTTTAAAATTTATATTAGCGTTTAACATTCTCCCCTGAGCAGTGCAGAGAATTCCCATGTTTTAGTGTGTCCCCGGCTTTGCATCCCAGGGAAAGACGGGTCTCACCTTAAAGACAGCCAAAGCCATGTGACTTTCCCAAACAAGTGGCCTCTGTGGAATCTCCCTTTCAGAGCCCCTCCCTCCCTCCTCTTTGGTTACGTGGTTCAGCACAGAGATTTAAGCCCCACAGAACTTCAGAAACTGGATTTGAAGACGGTGACTCTGTTTCTTGGACTCTTCATCGTCAATCTTAGGATGTTCACATCCTTTCTTCTCGCTGCAGATCTCCCCTTTCATGGCATTAAACTCCCTTGAAAAAAATATGTATTCAACTTGACACCGTTTCCAGGCAAGAATGTGATGGGGTGCAGAAGAGGCACGTTAAAAGCCCTAATCTCTCTACTGATCTTCAAAGAAATGGAAACCTAGATTCTTAGCAGGGTCAGAGAGTAGGGGCATCTGTGTTCCAAGCAACACATTTCCTCAGGCCTGCGACAGGCACTCGTAAGTTCTGGGACTAGCTCTTAGCAGGAGAAACCTTGCAGGAACTGCTAACATGGAGTAAAGTCTTGAAAGCCTGTGTGATCCTGGAGATGTATCCAGAATTATCTGGATTGCCAACAAGGATGTCATTTTTGTCCAGACCAGGGTTCTCCTTGCTGACTCATTGGCACCACAGTATAGTCTATATACAGACTTCAGTTTGGGCTTCTTGGTTGGGGTTCTATTAGAAATTGATGCAGCTCTGCTGGAAAAACATGTTTAGTGCATCTGAGCCAATTTTGGACAACTTCATAAATTCAGCCTCCCTTCCATTTGCTCACACCTATTCAACCCCCAATGGTCTTATTTGCCTTTAATCTATTCTAGGACTACCCAATATGACCCAAGGGTATTTCTACGCACATGATAATCCAAGGGTTTGGAAACCCGGCATACTCGTAATTCCTGCTGACTGTCCCTATCCCTCCTAGTCAGGGCTTAAAGCACCAAAAAGAAACAGGGAAACACACAAGAGAACTTTCCCCAGTGAAAAATCTGATGGGAGAGGAAGAGTGTGGATGACAAACATCACCATCCAAAAGTGAAAGCAGAACAAAATTAAGCATGTTTAGACCTGGATTTGCGCCAATCCAACATAAGGAAATGTGTTTTTTAAGTAGCATTTTGCTTCTAGAGTCTGTGAAGTTTGCTCTTGCATGAAGATGAGTGCAGTACTGTCTTCAAAATGATTGTAGAATTTCTTGGTAGCTTTACACCGAAAAATGTGTGTAACTAAATACCAGACATCCTTGACCATTCAGCTAGAACCTCAGCAGTGACAGATCTATTTAAGTGTACAAATGTGTGTAAGGATGATTTTTAGTGTACTAATAAATTAAAAACAAAGCTACTCTGTCCTCTTTAGTCATTGCTGTTAAATCATTCCGGTCCCAGGTTATTTTTGTGCCACTTGGAATAAGTATTTCTATAGGTAACTACAAATTCTATCCTATCTTTGTAAAAGGAGCTGTGTTAAGAATTTTCACTTAAAGGGACAGTTTACTTCATTATTTATCTCATTTTTTGTTATATCATCGTATTTTCCCCCAGTTTTTCTTTGCACATTTCAATATGCATGGTTTAAAAACCATCCCCTTCTCTACCTTTTGTACAGTAAGGTCTCATTTTCAAACTGTATAGTTTCATTTTATCGTTTTGCTTTGTCAGTTATATACAGTATAAAGTTGCTATGCACAGAGCTTTTTGTAAAGACAGCTTTTTTGTTTACTGTTTTTAATGGTCTTACTTATGAAAGAATATCTTGTTTGTAAAATGAATATGTCTACTTCAGTTTTAAACTTTAAATTATCCTAACAAAAAATAAAATTTTTGTACTGTAAAAATAATTGGAACTTGGCCTTTTTTAAAAAAAATTATTTAGTTTATTTACTTTATTTTTGGCTGCATTGTTGCTGCACACGGAATTTCTCTAGCTGCAGCGAGCGGGGCTACTCTTCGTTGTGGTGTGCGGGCTTCAGCAGTTGTGGCTCACAGGCTTAGTAGTTGTGGCTCACAGGCTCTAGAGCGCAGGCTCAGTAGTTGTGGCGCACGGGCTTGGTTGCTCCGCGGCATGTGGGATCTTCCCAGACAAGGGCTCGAACCCGTGTCCCCTGCATTGGCAGGCGGATTCTTAACCACTGCGCCACCAGGGAAGCCCGGCCTTTTTTTTTTTTTTTTTTTTTTTGAAGTGGAAAAAATTGAGTTTGGGACTTATTCTTAAGTTTGGGGATTTCCTCATAGCTGCGAGTCCCCGAATTCTGGTTGAGGAAATCTTACTATTATCTTTTGCTTACATGGAAAGTGTTCTGAGGTGCTTACCTGGAAGAGGAAATTCGTATGACTTTAGGCCATTTTTTCTGTATGTATTTATTTATGTATCCATCTGGTCAAATCCCTTCATAAAAACTCAATGATCCTACATCCAGTGTTGGACTTTTTGGGGTAGGTGAGTAGTCTACTTAGATTTGAAACTGCAAAAGTGAACAAATGTTAAAGGCTGATCCATCAGACACTGAGGCTGGACACAGACGTGATGCTTATTTTTAGATCATAGGAAGAGAACAAGACACATGCCTCTGGAAGGAAATAATTTATAGAAAATAGCTCATACAGGAAGATGGAAGCACTGTAGGAGCTCAGAGAAGATGGCGATCACAAAGAGCTGGACGTGGTCAGAGAAGGTTCCATGGGGGAGGCAGGGCTTGATGGGGCCTTCAAAGGATGGTAGAAATGTTGCAGTAGAGGTTGGCAGTGAGCACTGCAGAGGGGAAGGCCATGATGAAAAAGGCAAGTAAAGGGAAATTCACAAAGCACCTTTAGGAGAATGTGATTCTGAGCACGATTTTTCCACCAGACTATTCACAAGCACACTCATAATAGGACTATCTGATTTCTCTTACAAGGGTATAGAGATCTGCAAGGAACACATAAACTGTGCTCCTTGCATAAGTGGGTGAGACGCTATTTCTAAGCACTATTCTGAGAAAGCCACCGTGGTTTTGCTTTTTTCCGTGTTGACCGGCTCTCTGCGTAGACTGTGCCTCCCCTGGGTCTTTGCCTGGTGCCTTCCCAGCCTTCAGGCCACAGTTTAAGTAGCATCTACTCAGGGAGGACTTTGCTGACCTCCGATCGTGCAGATTTCCCACCTAGTCTCTTTAGCTGGCCTCTGTTTGTGTCCTTGTAATTTGTATTCATTTGTGGTCCAGTTTAACTTGAAGGCTCATAAGACCAGGGCCCTTATCTGTCACAATCCTGGATGTGGAGCTCAGAGCCCAGCGCCTGAGATGCCTCACGAATACTTGTTAAATGAGCAAATGAGAGACTGAATTCTGAGCCCTAGAGGCAGCCCTGCCTTGGCATGTGGGAGAGGTAGCTGATCTGTCACAAATGATAGGAAACAGTATCACTTTGAGAATCCACTCTTTAGGGACTACCTTGTCAGTCAGCTAATCCAAAAAAAATGATGGAGTGTGTCTACAATAGAAAGTGACTGGTTGTTTAATAAACATAGGAAACTCAAAATGAGAAGGAAGTGAGGAATAAGAAAAGATCTGTGGCTGGTATCCTGTTGGGTAGGTCACTTTGTCCCTTGGCCCTGGAGCTTCTGTGGATTCTCCTGATGCTCAGATATCATTCCAGAACCAGAAATGGGGTCCTTTGGGGGAATGTACATTCCATTCCTATTCCAGATATGCCACTTGACTTGTCCACCGCAGACCTGAATCTCAAAGAGCTTATGGTGCATTCACCGAACTGCAAGAAGTTCAGAGTGGCTGTAGGGCACTGAATGTGAGACTGGGATGAGACTGAAAACTTTAAGAACTAGGTCCTAAAGGACGTTGTTCATCATGCCAGAGAGTTTAGTCTTCATCCATAGGACTATGCTGTAGGTAATGGAAAACTATTACAAGAACTTGAGTCAAGGAGTGACACGAC